TGAACTAAGGTACATTCAAGAAGATTTAAAGCTCTACTACTATAAAACTAGCACAAATATCCGCTAATAATAGTAAAAGTGGTAAGATCAATAAGTTTTATAGACAGAAATTAGAATAATATTTTTTTTATTTATAAAATACTAATTTATTGAAACAGACAATTACAAAATAAAAAAACTCAATATAATAATATAAATATCATAAACCAAAAAAAAAAACAACTGTTTCAAAGGGCTATTGATTATAGGTTTTTTATTTATATTTTACTTAATTTAATTCATTGTTCAACAGTAGCAAAGACTTTAAATATACAATATTTCTTTAAATAAAAACATCAACCACTTAAGTAAAATTGTTTTTAATATTTCCATCTTATCTTCAAAATTATCGTCAATCAAATTCCCGACTGTATAGAAATCTCGACAACCATAATCCCGATAGTATTAAAATCCCGACTGTATCAAAATCCCGGCTATATCAATTTCGAATGTCGGGATTTTTATTGTCGGGATTTCGATTGCCACCGGTTGTTCCAATATCTATAACAATATATAAATATTTATTTTCCATAATTATTTCACGTCAGGTCAGAAAGACTTATGGCTAATATTTCTTCGCACAATTCTCAAAACAAATAAATAAATTCGACCGAAGTCTTTCCGTCCGGTATTATAATTATTTTTTCAAATCAATTAATTAATTAACAGTGATACATTTACTTAAATTTCAAAATTTTTTAGAACAATGTATTACAATATCCATGAAATGACAAAAATGATTGCAAAAAAACATGTAGGAAAGAACAAAAAAAAATACATCTTTTTCATACAATCTTTTGGACTTCTTGTTTTTTTAAACATTTACTTTAATACACATCATTAAATTTATTTTACAAAATTATTATTTTTTTGTCTTTTGTAATCTTTTAGTATTTTTGTGTTTAAGAAGACAAAATTTATTTCATCCTTATTTCTTAATAATAATTAGCTTTGTACATATTATTATTATTTTATATTTAGGATAAGAAATAATATGATCAAAATTTATATATTTATTATATTGATATAATTACTAATAACTACTTCAACCCTTTTATTGTCCAGATATGTTTAATAATAATAATATATTTATACTCATACATTTATTATAGTTTTGAATTCTGAGTAATTTCATGTTATGTAGAAACAGAGTTGTTATTGTACATTTTCAGTAAATTTTAATGAGTAACTAAGTAACATTTTTGGGATTTTTGCTTGAAATGAGAATATATTTTAATATTAAGAGTTATATAATTATTATAAATTTACATAAAATAAAACCTGTTTTTGTGCCGCACAAAAAAAAATATTCGAAATTTTTATTAATAAATAAAAAATTTAATTACACATGGAAACATTTTAAAAACATTTAATTTCTCATTTTACATATGGAGAAATTTTAAAAATGCACATACATAATTCACCTACTCGTGATAATCCAAAACGCGCATCTTATTGTGATAAATTGGTCCAAAATCGACTAATAGAATCGTTTGAGCATTACAAAGGTGCCAACGCTGTTGGAATTGGTTGGATTTCATATACCGCATAAAAAAAACCGAACAAAGAAAATCGCACTAAAATAATCGCATAAAAAGGACCGCATAAAATGGTCCGCACAAAAACAGGTTCTACTCTATATCAAAAAAATGCTTATTAATGTATTATAAATAATATATTGTGAGCATTATTACACAGTTTATATTCAAGTCATCTCGAAAGAAAATACACTTACGCAAATTGTGCAATTCTTTAATCGTGCACTTCAAAGTGACTTGACAGGTTGAAAGTTTATACAACTCGGTTGCAAAGTTAATTCTTGTAAAAATAATAAATTGAATTCACATGATGATTTTCTACCTTTCTAGTATGACTAATAAAATTATTATTTTCAAGTTATAAAACATTTGTTTCAATTAACTTAACAAAACGTTCTAATCAATAATTAATTGCCAAATGTATTTATTTAATATTATCAATTAAATGATTTAATCACAATTTCAATAATTTAAATTAAATAAATTTTATGATTTGAATGATTAAACTTGATTAAATGTTGTTTTTTTTATGCAGATATGATATTAATTGCGAATTAGTATGAAATAATAAGGGATTTGGAGGGTGGCTTAAGGGCAGTAAATATTTACGGGTTATAATATTTGGGATGAAGTGAGATTATGCGGGTGTTCTAAGTCCCATGGGTAAAATAGTCAATTTCTCCCTCGCATATGTCTCGTAACTCCACCAAATACGAAATTATGTAATAATGTTGAGACACATCGCAACCATTCACAAACAGTTTTATTTATTTAATTATTTTTAGTATTCATAGATCTTATAATTTATTTTTTAATTATTATTAATCTGGTATTAAAAATACATATATATATATATACTTAACCCATTTTTGCCCACTGTACCGAAGAGGGTACAATAAATAGTATTTTCGTCAATCTAGTGAATATTTGGAAGTTGATTCGGCGATTGAAAAACGGCCAGAGTTGGTAAAGGTGTTGTGCACCATGACAGCCAGAAGTGATGTCACATCCGTATAGCCGTGACTTAACGCCATGCGATTACCATTTATTTAGAGCCTAACAAAATTCCTTGACTGTTAAAAGCTCCAATGATGATTACACTTAGTTCAGTATTTTACTGATAAAGACTAGAAGTTCTATCAGCGTGAGATAATGAAGTTGACGGAAAGATGACAAAAGGTATGACAAAATGTATCAGAAAATCGGCAAATACATTTTGGAATGCGATAGTTGGCACCCTTGAATATAAGGGCATTATACGTCTGTTTATTTTCACATTTCTAGGGCAACCCTAACTTGCCCGTAAAAGAAAAACGCAATGTCACTAAAATTGTTTTAAACATTGTTTCGTTTGGCAATAAAATTCAATCTTCTGTACATGCCCAATAGAGCCCGGAATGTCTGTAGGAATTCGCCCTTCGACATTTCCCTCGTTCGCAGACAGATTTCCACCAATTTACTCTCCGTCTCTCTCGTTCTCACTCGTCCTCCAAACTTTCGCACGTTCACACACCCACACGTATCCTGTTGCATTGTACTAACTCATTTCGTCTCTTCAGCCCTTAACCTTTCTTCTTTTTGCGCACCCTTTTCTCACACTATATACCTCTTGTTCCTTTTTTTATCCTCTCGTACCGTAGTCTCGTCGTCATCCCTCCATCCCTTTTCCTACCCATATGAAATCCGATTAATCCGAAAACGCTGGAAATGAGTTTCAGCAAGAACTTAAATTGCTTTCGACTTCCGCGACGCGAAAATTTCGCAACAAATCACGAGCACCAGATGCAATTACTGCGAACAAACAGAAAAAAAAAGCGCATAATTATTTTTTTTAATCATGTCAAAAAATAATGCATATTTTTCATTTAACATACAACATTGAACTCTGTACTTTCAAAATATGCATCTCATAGAAATATTCATAGATTAAATAAAGCAATTACTTCATAATTCATAAAACCAAAATCATCTTATTTTTTACTTTTTAAATTAACACATTTTTAATTCATGGAAGGAAGGATTCATATCTAGTGGAAGAAATTAATTAAAAGAGAAACATAAATTAATGAGGTTGTTAGACTGTTGTACATAATGAAAGAGGCACTTGTCCTTGATCCGCGAAAATTGACAGCACTAATTAATGATTTCTGTTTTGTTACTCTTTTAGATTAATAAAATATTATAATTTAAAAAATATAAAATATTACATTCTCACTAAATTATTTTTTGAATTAAAAAAATATACGCAAATATTAAAATTTAATATGTAAAATTATACATATTTAATATAAATGTGTGCATTAACTACTATTAATATATTCCAATATATTTTATATTAAAATCATGCGTCATATTATTTATGTAGGTCAAAAGATTTATTACAGTAATTAAAACTATAAACACATCTAAAAATAAATTAATTTTTATTTATTAATGAAATTACTATTCGGTCTTATCAACTTAAACTGTATTTATTACATCATTGAATCATGTATAAACAGTTTTCAGCAAATTTTCAAAAAATATTTCTTATGTTGTTGTTTTTTTCGTCTTTACATCGATTGCTGACTATGTAAATTGCATATACAGTAGAGATAATGAAACTAAGAATTTATTGTCAAAACAAAAGTATATATATTTTCTTGCAAGAAAAGCAGCTGTCTCTCGAATACGTTTTAAATTATGAGCCGAACGTGGATCCGCTTATTGGTTCAAAAAAGTAATCATGGTATGCAAGAAATAGCATGTTACATTACAGTGAGTTTTCAGAGTTTAAACAGGAAAATGATTTAACATTAGGAAAATGATTAAACATTAGTTTCTCAATAAATATGTGCATTAACTGCTATTAATGTATTCCTATAGGTTAAAATTTTATTACAGTAATTATAAGTATAAACTCACAAAAAATAAACCATTTTTTTTCTTATTAATGAAATTGTTATTCCCAGACTGTTTGAAACCGGACTAATTTTAATGCATATTACTTTTTATAAAATAATAAAAAAAAAATGAGAATTAAATATAAGTCTATGATCCAATAACCTTAATCAGCAAATTTTAAACAAGTCTGACCTAAACGTGAATTTCCGAGTCATAAAATAATTAAAACGATTTAACATTAGGAAAATGATTAAACATTAGTTTCTCAATAAATATGTGCATTAACTGCTATTAATGTATTCCTATAGGTTAAAATTATATTTTATTTGAAATATATATTTTATATATATAATAGTACTATTTTTGCACATTAATGAAAAAATGTAATTTTGTTAGTATATTGATCAATATTGTTTATAATATAAATGGTAAGAGAAAATACGTGTATTCGTATTACAAAATGATTTTTATTGAATGATAACTACATAGCACATACATACGAAATGGATTTTTATCAAAATGAATTAATCCTTTGGGAGCTAAGTATAACAGATGGACGTATTTATCAATAAAATCATAACATCCTTCAAATCAGACAGCTATGCTATTTCTTTGAATCCGTAAATGCATTGTATAACTAAATCAATGAGCATAATGTACAATAAATACTCTTGTCAGGCAATTGAATAGGACCTGCTGAACATATGCTGCTGCCTGTTTTCCTTATCAGCATTGTCTTTCTCAATTTTCTGCACTTCCTCCAGTTTCTCGGGATCGATGATATTCCAATCCGGTGTCACCTCATCCGGTTGTGCCTTTGCCTTCTCCAAATCCTGAATACAAAAACAAAAACATAAAAATGTAAAAAAAAATCTGTTTATAAAAATTCTAGCATAAAAATCTCGCATAAAAAAAGCAATCTGGCATTTTTCCGTCGGTTGGACGTGCGGTTTAGATTCAGAAATATTAATAACATTTTGAGCGATCGGTTAATTAAATGCGGGCAGCGCAGGTGAATGCGCGTTATTTTCGGTGCCGGCTTTTGCAAAAATAAACAGAAAGTTTCTTTTTTCGTGTCCGTCTTGTATCCATAAACCAATCAATTTCGAACGCACTTATTTAGGCAAAGTAAAGGTCAATTTTCTATATTTAAAGTCCAATATTTCATATACCGTGATATTCCCTTCAATCTCTATTCTTAACGTCTGATGACATTGCATAACATATCAAACATATTAGGAAATGGCAGGAACTATATAAATATTTCATCAATTTATTAATTGAACTAATTTAAAATTACTGATTTGTCGCATAGACGGCAGTCAAATGTATGACGATTAACTTGATGACGTTCAAATTCAAAAAACAATTTAATAATTATTGACCAGAAACTATAACATAGTGACCTGACATATGTACGTAGTAGTTTATACAGCCGACATACATTTATGTCCCATTTCACGCATAGTGTGGTTGCGGTATTGGGTTTCTTTATAAATGTACATCATAACATTTAGAATTACAGTCATTACACCATTTCTTCCAAAAAATTACATTTGTATATTACACGACTATCCAAATTATTGAATCTGAAAATATATTTCCTATCTTACAATATCTTACTTATATTGATGACGATCAGTTCAAGGGGAAAACGAGAAAAAATTACTAGAAATATAATTTTCAAAAAATTATTGGAATTTATGCTGATCATTCATGTAATTTTAGAAATTAAAATAAGGTTATATTTTTTTAAAGAAATTTGGAAACCACTGATTTACAGTATTGATAGATAATAAAAAAATATAGGTTTTGACTAGGAACTAGTGGTATAGTTGAAATTAAGAAAGTCTATCTTAAAAACATAAATACACAAATCATCAACATCTTGATTGAATATAAGTTAATTCGATCTGCTGACATTTTTAAGTAGAAGTTGGTACACCCCAGAGACAGATGCCACACATACTGTAGATGCGGTGATAGTTTTTTTCTTAGAAATTGGTTCAAATAAAACAGCGTTTTTCAACCTGTACACATAACATTGTTAATGGGTCGCACAATAACAGCTGTACCTCTCAAATACAATGATAAACATTAGTTTCTCAATAATTTACATTACATTAGTTTTATATCATTAAAGTAAATGATAATTTTGAAAAATTTCCATTCTACTACAAATCTATTTTATTTAATTAGTTAAGTTATCATTAACATTTTGAGTTTCAAACTAATTTTGTATTATATATTGAAACCAGTGTTATGTTACTTCTACAGACAAGCAAAATATGGGAATGTTTCGAGGACTGGATAATTGTTGAGAAAATAAATAAAATCCAATAAATTGATTAAACGTTATAAATTTGTTATAGCTATACTATAACACATATTATTAACGCGAGTCAAATATTGAAAGAATTATCAGACTTCAATATTATTGTTTAGATATGAGAAATTACCAGTTAATAAATTGTACTATTTAACTGGCTAAATATGATACTTTTACTTTATTTTATCAAATGAATAAATGTATTTAAATTAAGTAAATTCGTTTGTTTATTTTGTAAATTAATTGACGATCAAAATTTAGTAATTAATTGATCGATTTTAGTTTTGCTAAACAAAGCTATACAAAGCTGCGGTCAATTTCCAGGGCAACCTTGATAATGTTTGACATCGTTTTCATTAACGTCGCTTTAATTAACTAATTATTTAGTTACGAGTCTAGGCTAGGTTCGGATGCTGCGTGCGATGCCGATATGCCATCTAGACTTGCTCCGGGAGATAATTAGAATACGATTATTGCACAGAGACAGACATAGACTTAAATGGTTTTTACTTAAAGGAGACAAGGCATTTGCTTCAAATTATTCTCCTAGTCGAGAGGCTGTCCACAACATCAGACTTCTAATTTAATGAAAACCAACAACTCGTACTCAGCGTCTCCCCCTATACTTCCGTCCGTCCGCTGCAATTTAATTTGTTCTTCCAAATTGCGGAAAGAAAGAAAGCGATATGTTTACAGCTTTTGCAGACGAAATGTGCCATGACGCAACAAACGACGTAAAGGCCGTGATTGATTTTGTTAAGATCACGGCACATATGTGGGTGTGCAATAGATAAATATTTTTATTATTACTATCATAATAGATTTTCAATATTTTAAGAACACTTTCATAAGTTTCCCCAGGTATGAGTTTCTTGTTGATTATAAAACTCTCAATATTTATTATTTAAATAGCTTCAAGTAGGTAGAAAGGCAAATACAATATGTTAATAAAGGATGCATGAACATGGATGTTTTTGTATCTGCTTAAACTTGTTTCCTCGAGTTCGCTTTTATCTTTTTATGTGCTTCTATCCTGTACATCAAAATCCAATAAGCTTCAACTTATCCACTTCTAACGAGTAATATCCTTCGCGCTGGAAAAGCTCCACTACTTTGGTGTCCTATCAAACAGCATACTTTCTACTACTCGTGTAGTTTGACTTTATCGCTTTATTGAAGTTTTAACTCATTTTTTTTATATTAGTCTTTTCTCGTATAACAAATTTTATATAACTCTACATCTTCATTACACAATTATCTAAATTAAATGATCGATTCTGATAATAATAGAAATCAAATTTTCTCAAATACATATTCTATTTACACTCATCAATTTATTATTATTAACGAGTTCATCAAGATTACTAAGATTTTCAATAGTTTCAATTCTATTAAATTTTGTTATAAATCTATTGTATATATACAATAATTTTTGATTATTATCACGTCTATTTATATACTAATAATTCATTATTTAGAATTTATCATATAAAGTTTCAAATAAAATAAATAATAAATGAATAGATTTTCTGTAATTTACAAATTAATTACTTATTCTCTAATAATTTCCAAACCAGCAACAAATATAATATTAACATATTTTAATTAAGTTCAAATTAGATATAGTACTGAATGATCTTAATTATAAACAAAAATTACTTAATAAAATATACAATTGAAACTGCTTAATATTTTGGTGTTTTAAAGAATAAATTGATTATTTTAATCATATTTAATAGCCATAATATAACCCAAATGACTGAGGTGTTTCCGCCTATAAATTTAAAATAATGAATTATCCAGTAAGTATGATAACAATGATTTAAAAAACATATAATAAAGAATGTACTTTATGTACTATACTGACAATATTTCAATAATTTTCTAAAATAGTTACTACCGTTACTATTGTTCATTGGTTTTAATTGAAAATTGATATTTATTACTAATAAACGTACAAACTTGCATTTAACAACAGTTATTAATCGTGATGAGATTTAGTAAATATTCATCATAATAAGATAGAATATAATTTTCGATAATTTGTTCCTCAAGGCTGTCTTTTCATAATTACGACACTATACAATGTATGTGTTCAATTTTGGACTATTTGAAAACAGGTTTATTCGAAAACTGAAACTATTATAATGGAGAGACGAGGTTCCGCAGTATAAACATAGGGTTTTAGAGGTAATTTATGTGAATAAATGTTTATTAGTCTCAATAGTCACACAATGGATATCATTACGCTAGGTATTGTGTTAATTACTGTGAATACCGTAATTATAAAGGACATTTATGAAACACGCTACATTACTCTCATATACTATCATTTATTATTTTTCATTATGTACCTGTCTACGTGATATGATGTAGTGAAATTATTATTTTATAGGAATGAACTAAATGTGAATGTAAAATCGTAAAATAAAAGTGTTTAATAGGTTGACGTGTGGACTGTAAACGTTGTCGTAAAAAAGTCGAAACCGTGTTTTTTTTCTCTAGATATTCGTGTCATTTCAATGGTAAATCGGCCGTAAAACCAATCCGTGTCCGTGTCATGTGGCCGAACACTAATAAAATCTCTCGAAATAACTTGGTGTAAGAAGAAATAAACTGGCACAACAGCGAAAACATGAACGGTGAACGAGAGAAATAAAACAAAGAAAAGAATTACAAAAAAAAAAAATGAAAAGTGTCAAAAAGAGTCTACTTGCTCTTGCTGCGCTTAATTCATTTTGGCAGTTCATTCGATTTGGTATGGGCCGACTGGAACGTGTCTCCAGCCACTCGCCAAGTTGAATGAAATTGTATTAAATTCGCCACCGTCTCTTTTATTTATTTTTTTCTAGTTCTTTTTATGCAAATGTTTCTGGCCGGAATTCATCCGAAGCCGCGCTTCCTACCCGGAACCATTCAGTATTCATAACGTTATTTCCGCCCATATTAGATTGATTGCTGACTCAGAACTTTTTCCAACTGGGATGTTGGAGCGGTAATTCTGAGATGGGGTAAAATAGCGGAGGATTGCAATAAAATAGGGGCGGACAAGGTTAAAGATGGCAAAAGAAGACCAAGCAGACAAAAAAAAGAGAATACGTATGTTGCCAATTACAAAATGCCGTAATCGCAGCGAGAAACTTTCCGAGATTAAAACTCGTGCGAAAACTTTGTCGTTTAAGGAATGAAGAGGGATCATCCATGAAACTGATTTTATCGAGAAAGTTAATTTACATATTTTATATTCGGCCCTCCCCCGCTCCCCAGTATTTGAACGGTAAATGAGATTTGATTATATAATATGATGTTATGATTATCATCGTTTGTTATTTTATTATGGTAATGATAAATAAACGTTTCAAATTTATTTTCAATTTGTTTCTGCATAAATTAACGGTTAAAGAGAAATTGAATTTTTGGAATTTTTGAAATTCTGTTCTCAAAATATATACAGTCGCGCAGTGTTAGTGGCTGAAATGCAGTGCTTTTCAAAAATAAACAGTAGTTTAAGGCTAAGATTATTTTATTAATACTATCTTACTAAATATTACAAACTTAAACAATAACTATATTGAACAGACAACTGCCTGATTAAATTTAAATAATATAAAAACTGAATGTTTCAAAGCAATAATTGATAATACAATATCTGCATTGGAAAACATATTTAAAGTTTTTGAAAGTCATACAAAAGTTATTATCAATATTAATGTTAGTTGGATCTAAAGAAAATTGAAACATTGAAAGGACTCGGAAATTGTCAGATAAAGATAAATTTCAATTTTATATTTATGGAATCGAATTCTACGTATAAATTAAATTGTTACTATAATAAAATGCAACTTTAGACAACAAGAAGCTCTAAAACTAATTCTAGATCAAAATTTAATACAAGAATATCCAAATTGAACCACAGATTAACGTATACTAATAATACCACGGAGCCTCAATCAAAGTACGCAAATTGTAAACATTCTTAAAACAGTTAATCTCCTCTTCAACCTTATAGCCTGCTTCAGATCCAAACTGGGAGGATGCTCTACTAATACACTACACATATACAAAACATACATCCATCCTGTAATCACATACCCCATCGTAACTCACACCCTCTTTTCACCACAACTGCTAAAAAGACTATTACAATTCGAAAGAAAAATAATCCAAAAAATCCTTAAGCTACATTACAAATATCCTTCAGCTCAACTCTACGATCTTGTTCCCTTCCCCAGCATTACAGACTTCATAAATACACTCCAAGGAAAACTAGCTCTAAGAATCCAAACACATAATCATCATACACTTTCTCTATTCAAACTTCCTCCCAGAAGCTGTCTCAGGCTAAAACCAAAAAACAAAAACCCCATTCCCTCCAGCTAAGCTGGTGCAGAATCTCGAATCTGATGTTCCCATTTTCAATGATCTCATTCAAAACATTAGCCCATTCTTTATGTGATGTTCCAATTTCTTGCTTCTATTTCTTAATGTGTTAATGTATTTATCTGTCGCTAAATAGTGTGTTAAATATTATTAACTGATGTTCCCTAAAATGCGTAAATCTTAAATTTCTCTAAATGTGTACTTCTTATTTCTTAATGTGTTAATGTGTGTTTATCTGTCCTTAAATAGTGTGTTTTCTTTAAAATGTGTAAATCTTAAATTTCTCTAAACTTCTCTAAATGTGTACATCTTTAAATGTGTGTCTCTAAAATGTCTATTTATGTTCAAAATATCTTCCTGTTTAAAGAATGTTCTGAATTACTCTACAAATATATATATATATATCAAAATCTGTAACCCACAAACTGCATGCTGAAAGATCTTAGGCTTAAGCAGTATGACTACTTATGTAAAACCCAAATATGTAACCCATTTCACATATAAATAAAAACATTTGAAACCTAATAATACCAGTACGGTATTTATGCATTAAAGAGCATCAACTAAGTGCAATATATACTCTCAAGATGTCCTTGTTCAAAGTACAGGAAGACTTTGCATAATGCGGGTATTCGGTTCAGCCAATATCTCGGCCTGTTTGAAACCGTACTAATCGGCAAACAAACTACATACAAAAAATAAACCGCTCGAAAGAAATATTTGACAAAATATTTATTTAAGCTCTACTAAAATTTAGTATATTTGAGTTTTTTAAATCTAACCATAGTGAATCCGCGCTGAACTAAGCTACACTGTGCGATCTATTGCTGTATATGTATTTATTCGCCATTCTATTAATAACTAATTTATATATTTCAATAACAATATAATTTTCTATTACTGAAATCATTACAAATAAAAATATTTTACAAATTTCATCGCAATCTTACGTTTGTAATTATATTTATCTTAATACCAAGTACATGAAATTTTTCAGCTTTTAAGATATCTTAATATCTTTATTAATATTTTACTTTTTAATTTTGTTGTTTAACACTGGTGCTACTCAGCTTCAGTTCTATTAAATCAGGTGTGTCAAACTCCCGGCCCGCAACGAACATTTTTGCGGCCCGGCCAATATATCGGCACACAATAACTAATATAATATATAATAAAATAAAAAACCGATACAGAATACAAATAAGATACTGAGAATTTGCTAAACGTTTTTTGAATTATACTCTGTTCAGATCAGATCACTACGAACATGTTAGACATAATTAAAGCAATCAAATGTAAGCTAGTTCTTTGGGAAAAGCAACTGAAAAATGAAGATTTAACGCACTTTTCGACTTGCAACATGAACAAATTAAGTGTTGATGATACTGCATCGTATTATAAATACTCAGAATAAAAATCAAATCTTAGAAATGAATTTGAAACAAGATTTAAAGATTTTAAATATTAATCTTTATAATTGGCAAAGATAATTCCATCAATAAGAAATAATATAACTTCAACTCAACGGAAAAAAATCTAAATACAGTGGAACCTCGCTTAACGGTTTAATCCGTTTCAAAATTTCCAGATTTTTTACTGGTTTATTGAAACTTGTTCAAAAATACACATAATATGTGTAAACAAGTTTTAAAAATGATGTAGCAGGCGCGCAATCCGGGTCAATCTCTTCTCATCGTTATTCGTTATGTGAAACGTCGCTCGTTAAGCGAGTCATTTTTCTTACAATTCATTTTGATCGTTAAGCGAAATGCAAGTTATGCGACGTGCTCGTTAAGCGAGGTTCAACTGTATAAAAAAACATATTTTCTCCTACAATTTTAAGACAGAGGGTAATAACTAATTTGAAAGATGAAAAGGTTGGTTATAAATTCTCATCTACAATGATAATTTCATAAATTATAAGTAAATTATAGTCCAATATTAATTAAGTTAATTGTTGTCGTCGGTTATAAAATTTAAATTCGCGAAACACGTTGCACAATTTTCATAAGGTTAGATGGACGCCACGCTTTCCTAATAATTCGATTTGTTGTAGTCTGAGAGAATGAAAGAAAAATGTCGACCTCACTCGATCCCGTCGTTTCGCAACATGCCGGTTATGAAACGGCGAAGCCAAAGGAAAATGGTAACTTAATTCCGTCGACGTTTCTCGGCCAGGCGAGAAAATTACTTTTTAAGAAAATTAGCTCATTATTAGTGTCCATGATCGTATCGAGTTTCCTCTGCTTTTGCCACTCTCTCCGCGAATAAGAGAAAAAAAGAAACGCGTACTGACAATACTGATTATGAAATTAAGCGGACGATACTACTGCTCAAAGTTTTAATGAGGTATCAGATTATCAAACATCCATCACACGTAATTCGTTTTAAAGTACAAGCTGTAATTTCTTGGAGCGGAACGCGTGATGCATGTAATCACACCAAAATTCCTAATACTGGTTTCAGTCGAGGGATTTAATATTTGATTAGTTATTAAATAGAGAAATTCCTCGTATAAAAGCGTAGTTACATTCCTAGAAAATAGCATGTGGTGATAAATGGTGTTATGTAGAATTATGATTCACTACATAATTCATACCTATACAAAAAATATTAATAAATCATCTTAAAAGATTGCAGAGCTAGTAAATTATTATCTTATTAATTAATAAAATAAAACTTTTCTAAATAAAATGACCTAGTCATACGCTTAGTATTAGTAAACTACAAGAGCTATGTCGCGTACGGATCATTGATAGAACTCAGCACTTCCTCAAACTTTTACTATTTACTAAACCTCGTTAAGTGAATATGTTCAAAGCAATAGGATTGGGTGTATTTTTTTTAATTCTGATATATCGAAATCTTGTTGTAAAAATATCTTGTTATACCAGGGATATCTGCATTTGATTAATTATTAAATATTTAGAGGAAAAAATATATTTTCTATGTCTCTTTTTTAAATTACCTTCACAGATTTCATTTGACTTTTGGAGGCGTAAAGGATCCAAAGGATGTAAATGAACATAATCAAAGCGGGTGCGAAAAGCGCCGCGTACTCTGGTGTTCCCCTTGCCACAGCTTGGTAAAGTCCCAACAGGGACAGAAATATCGCAACGCCGGCGGCCATGTAACGTCCCGTCCTCCGCCGCTCCTCCTATTTACAAACAACAACAAAAAAACACAAAAGGACTACATTAACGTAACATCAATTAACTGAGAAAGTTTTAGTCATTATTTAGCATGCATTTTAAGTACATTGAACAGTTTCATCTATTCTACATTGTTCGATAATCAACCACTAAAAATCATTAATTTCATATAGACCGTACATATTTTACTTAGTTGCGTCCTCAAGGATCTAAAATTCATATTTCAATTTGTAAAATCGATACTTTAGTTATTACAGTTTTCAAATTTGCACACATTGTGACAGTATATAATTTAATTTATAAACGCTTGCTTTTTAATAGCATAATATTCAGTTTACCAAAAATATAGATAAAAAAACATACATTACAATATTCTACAATTACATCAATATTTACTCGCATAATCCGTTCAGTCCGGATTTACTAAATTCCGGTTTACTAAGGAAATTCCAAAAAATTAGTACACAAAACTATTTTACGTCTCATTAAAGACCACGGTCAGTCAGCTTTCAAATAGTCCGGACTATATGAGATATTGCAGTATATAAATAAATACATCTGGTCAAATCTTGCTTTTCTTTTAAATCCTTTATTTAATAAAATTCTGTTATTATCAAAATGATTTTTTTTATAATTAATAAATAAAAATAAGTGTTGGATACTTCGTTAAATATTAGAAATATAAAGAAAATAAAATTATATTTATTATGATGTAAACTTTTGCTGCTTCTGAGTAAAAGCGTTGCATTAAAGAGACATCAATAGTGCAGAAAGTTTAATCATTATTTAGCACATATTTTAAATACATTGAACAGTTTCCACTCTATTTAACTCTGTTTCGAGATCAGCACTTGGGAGTCATTAATTTAACCATAGTAAGCTCTATTTTACTTAGGATATAAAATTAATATTTCATTTTACAAAATCGATACTTTTGTAGGTGTCATACATTGTGAAAACATACATATGAATATCGATTGAATTTGTTTTTCTAGGTGCATCTTCCAACTACGTTCTCAAATAAGCTTTGTGCAGTTCTGATATATTATCTCTCCATGTCCAGACCAAATACAGAAGAAAATTGACATCTCCAGAAAAATTTGAATACTCTAGAAATTTGTATAGAAATATTTGATTCAAAATAAAATCTCAATTTGTAAGTATAGAATTATTCTTAAACATTTTCTTTCATTATCGAAAACTGCTTTTCTACAAAACTATACAAGAATCTATTTACCTCACAATATTTTTTGCAGGAAAAATTCAATAGAAATAATATATTAAATACTTTAAAAAAATTGTTTCAAAATTTTTCTTTTAAAGTTGCTTTGCGAAATGCTCGCTGTGCAAGGTGCTCGTTAAGCGAGGTTTTACTGTAATTGGTATTTATTATGCGTAAGTTACAACATCATTTACAACAGTATTTTATTATTTTTCTTTTTGGTACGTATGTAATTGTATATTTGTGTGAATATTATTGTATATCTACTGAATGTTATAATATATCAATAATTACTAAGGAAATGCAAATGTAATGCATTTATTACATTCTGAAAAACCTGTAATTTTGTACTGTTATTGCAACACCAACAAATACTGTAAGAATGATCTTTTTAAGATCATTTGACTTATAATTATGGTACGTAATACTTTATAATTTTGGGGTTCTTTAATGTTATAATTTTTTATCCAATATTTCTAGTCACGAGCAGCAACAAACTTTCATGATTTAAAAAAAGTTCAAAACTCAATTCCAAATAAATCCAGAGACATTAGTCATTACATTGCAAGGTGTCAAATCATGATCTCGCACGCGTATGATTCACACGTGTTATTACTTGGTCTTGTTGCACCCACAACATCCATTTTCCAGCAAACTTTTCCTTTCGAATAATATTTACTTGGCACAAATTCAGCATTTTTGATATCATTCACGTTTGTCTTTCTCAGCGTGATTCACGTTTTCAAATTTATACTGCCTTTCCATCTATTTCCATCTATTGACTAACATGATTAAAAGCAATTATCAAACAAGATACACGAAAAAAAAAGAGAAAAACAATCCATAGAATGTTTTGTTGTAATATTTACGAAACAGCGGGACAGTGTTTTCTTCTATTTTTACTTCGGAAACGGTATGATGTCTACCCCCAAGAGAGACTGGAACGTGTAAATATTTAGGAATTCCGAAGGTCTGGCACTTAACGCAACTTAATAAGTTCATTAGTCTGCGGGACGGGTCGTGCAACCTTCGCGAATGTGTTTGAAATCGTTTTGGCAAATATTCGAAGCAATAAAAAAAAATAACACGTTCGATCTATCGATTTGAGACGATGATATGTTCTTTCAATTATATACAATATCAGAAAGATTTACACTAAACGTTTTAATCAACATTACTACAAAAATACACTTCATAGTTTTTTTTGGCATCGACAGTAATTAAAATAATATTTTTTATTGTAACAGTCAAAATAATTAAATTTTCATTCACAACAATAATATTTTCTGCTGTATAGGACTATTGATGTTATAAGGGTTTAAAACAAATATTACTAGAATAGATTATATAAGATTCAAATAAAATTGATTGTCTACCTAATCAATTGAAGACACAAGTCTGTGCAACATATAAAAAGGAGCTATATATTTCTAAAAACCCAATGAATGAACTTCTAAAAAAGGTTCTACATACACTAACACTACAGTTTTTGACATATCCACATTAATAGAAACCATCGTTAGCCCTTTGGCCAGCCTATTAGTATATATATTTTCATTGTATGTTAAAATTTATTTATGTATAAATTGTACTTTTTTTTTCTCTTCTTCTTATGTATTGATGTTTGCCCAATAAATTATTATTATTATTTTAGAAACCATACATTTTTGCAAATAAAGAAAAAAATCTTTCCCATTATTTCCATTTGTGTAATTATAGTAGAATTTATTAGAAGTTTTTCATCCTAAGAGTGGCCGTAAATTTTATAAATGGAAGGAATAACAAGATTAATACCATTTACTATTAATCTTGTTATTCCTTCAACGCGTTGTTTATCTTTCAAAACAATGCATTATTTGAATTATTTTAAATTCAATGATCACAAGACTATACATTTTCTTATTATTATAAAAAAGGACAATAATTTCAAACCAGAAAACAATCTTCATTAAAAATAAACATTGTGACCATTAAAATAAAGTTTGAAAAAAGTTTTGTTTAATTACTTAATATTGCAATATTTTCATAATTGACAATTTATGACGTTTTTCATATTCACATTTCTAAATTGTCATTAATACTTCGATTATTTCTTTCTACATATACAAATTATAATTAGTCGTTTATTTGCACCATTTTTTTTATTTTATATAACACTACAACTAATTATTAATATTGTCCGATGATAACGCAAAACCAATTATTTCAGTTATTTTATTTTTATAAACATTGAAATATATAAAAATTAAGATTAAATAAAAAAAATGTTAATCCTCAAAAACATATATAAATATTGCTTCCAATTCATTATTTGTTATAGACTCCATAGTCAATAGCCTTTTGTAATTATTATGAATAGTTATCCTTATGTATTTATGATATTTTTGTTAACTTGTTGGATGTTCTATTACTATAGTAGTAAATATTATTATTGATAGAATAAAGTAAGTATGAATATTACGAATACCTTAAATATTATATTCAAGTTTAGTCTATTAAATAATAATGTTAATTCAAACTATTAAATTCAATTAAAAACCATTAATCTTACTCTAAGTTTCATTTTCTCAATGGAATCCATGACCAAAATCTCTTTTTGTACATCAATCACAACCATAATTCTGTAACTCTGTTTATCAACTTGACTTTAAACTTTCTGAACTGCAGATACGTTTGGTGAGAGGGCAGAGCAAGGAGTGAACAAGTTAGAATATTGCTGCTGGTAGAATAAGAGTTGTATTATTAGCAACGCATCTGAGGCAGTACTGGAATGAAAAAGTTTTGGAGCCGGAAAGACGCGAAACGGAAACAAAATTTTGTTTATCCCACGAAACTTTAACTACCAGTCATTACCAGTCTGTTGTCGTAATAAATCTTACGCAAAGTAAACAATAACGAACCATATGGTAATAATAAAGAATTTAATAGAAATATACTTCTTCAGTTGCTACTTCATATAACTAATAATTGTAAATGTAACTTAATAGTCGATGATTAAAAGTACATGGTTTGAAATATTTAAGTAATTGGTGTAATATATATAGTTTAGTTAGATGTTCCATAAATCAAGGAACCTTGATTGTCATTTTTAGAACAATTGCATTTACCCGGTGTTTAGTTTGGGTGCGCAATTCAATTAGTTTGATATGACGATGTAGGCAACTTTATGATCAAACATTGAACAATATTTTAAACAGCAATTAAATTTTAAACAAACAAAAATATCAAAGAATACTTCAAATATCACATTTTTAAGTGTATTAAATAACATATTTTATAATAAACTTATAATGGTAATCATTTCAACAATTTTAGCCACATAGAATACAAAATATGTTGAACATTTTTCACTAAAAGACTACCTATACTTGGACATGAATATTAAGAAAAATGGTGGAATATTACCAGTTTTAAAATAAATTATTTAAGGTTATCTAATATTTCTATAGTATGTCTTAATATTTGATTTATACTAACATCAAAATCGTAAAGAAAGGTAGAACTGTAAAAAAAGGAAACCAAATATGGTTAGAACGTTAATTCTCTTTTGAATGAGTAAAAAAAGTTACTTTCCAAATGCACGGAAAGTGCTCATTTCAAATATTCCCGGGAATCCACGCCCGGGATTTCCCGACCGGGTATAAGTGCACGTGTTACCAGCCTGGTAGCATCGCCGCATTCGCAGTTCTATACAGTTATAAACCCGACGTCATAAAAAGACAAAAAATCTGTTAGTGTACCACAGTTTTCTATTCACAAAGGTAAGTTTGTACTATTAGGTTTAATTTTGTCAAAATTGTCACTGTTGGCCGTTAATACATATTAAAAACCAATAAAAAGAACAATGTTCGATGTAACCACCAGTAACCACTTTATGATACAATATTTGTGACTGCTGTTGGAACACACATTTCTTTTCAGTGCATGTTATCCCTTTAGCCCTCAATACTCTTAATGCATCAATACTCTGTACCCATAATATAAATATACAAGGTAGCAAGAACGGTCGTTCCATTTTCGTTATCTTTCGCGCATGGCGAATGCTTCTCCTTCCTCATAACAATGAAAAATATACATGTGTTTATAGTCATGCTGTGTATACTTCCAGTTATACATTGTTTACCTCCCATTCATCTCTACCCATAGAACAAATAGTTATACCAATTTTATCATATCATATTTCACATAGATTAAAAATACCTTGTATATATATCATGCTATGTACCCAGAGACATCGGGTTACTAAGAATAATGCGCCCCTCATGATAAGAAGAGGCTATAGCCCTGTGGTTAAAGTGATCTTGTCCATATCTTTACTTATGTTCAGTGTGACAATTATTATGTTAATGTAAACTGCAGTCACAACTATTTTATGTGGTTGCATCAAATTACTTAGTGTTTACATAATATATTTTATATCTTAGTAATGATAATGATTTACTTTTTTTGTTGTAGAGATTATATTTAATAAGTAAATAGCGATGGCAGATACTGTGTGGACATATTATACAAAAGAAAAAGGAGGCGAAAAAGCGAGATGTTTAATATGTGAAAATAAATTATTAAGTTGTAAGGGATCATCGACCAGTGGTCTGATAAGGCATTTGCATCATGTTCATAAAATCAATGTATTGAAACGAAATGTAAATGACAACCAAGTCGCTGGTTCAAGCAACACAAGAAAAGTTCCCACAACAATCACTAAACAACCTCTAATATCATTTGTTATGACACAAAGACATTCTCTGTCTGAAATAGTGGCAAGACTTGCGTCCGTTGATGGATTTTCAATCAATGGAATTTCCAAAAGCGAATTTATTCGTCAAGCACTAAGTGATAGGCAATGTATTTTACCAAATGATAAAAATGATATAAAGAAATTAATTTATGAGTTTCATGAGTTTGCAAAATGTGAAATAGTAGGAAAAATTAAATCTCATAAAGAAAAATGTGGAAAATTCAGCCTCACGTTAAATGAGTGGAAAAGTTCAAGAAACCGACGATACTTGAATATAAACATTCATTTTAATAAACAATATATTAATTTGGGAGTACTAAGAATGGTAGAGAGTAGTACAGCAATTAAAATAATTGATCTGGTTAATTCAAAGCTATCTGAATTTGGCATACATTTATCAGATGTAGTCGCTTCAACTACCGATGGAGCTGCCGTTATGCTAAAATTTGGAGGATTGTCTCAATATATCCACCAAATATGTTACAACCATGGCATACATTTAGCTGTAGCAGATATAATTTATAACAAAAATAAAAAATATAGTATTAATCAAAATGATATAACTGAAAATGAATATAGCTCAACTGAAGATGACTTTTTTGAATCTGACGATGAAACAGACAATGAAGAACCAGATAATGCGGTATCCCACAAACGTACAGTAGATGATATTAAACCTGCATTACAAATGGTACGAAGAATTGTAAAGTTTTTTAAAATTGCACCAAACAGAAACTCAATATTACAAAACCATGTCAAAGAAATGCATGGGCTAGAAATGAGTTTGATTCTAGATTGCAAGACCAGATGGAAAAGCATTGTGACAATGACTGAAAGATTTCTAAAAATAGTTGATTCAGTTCGAAATGCATTGAGAGATTTGAGTTCCCTACATTTACTGAATGATGATAATATTCCAATATTATGGAATATTTGCAATGCACTTAAGCCAATTAAATTGGCTGTTGAAGCGTTGAGTAGGCATGATGCAAATCTAGTTACCGCCGATGCAATTTTGAAGTTTTTATTTGATTCACTGCGTGAAAATGATGATAATATTTCATATGAGTTATTGGAGGTTTTATTGTATCACGTTAAAGAACGAAGGAATCAAGATCTTGTGTCTTTGGCAAAATTCCTTCAAACACTCGATTTACAATCAACTGCTACATACGATTTGCCTTCATCGTCAAAGTCTGCAATTATTCACTATGCTAGCGAATTATTTAATCGATTATTCGAACACGAGGTTGAATGCGATGATATGGTTAAAATAGAAGTGCAAAGCGATGATTCCTTTGGAGAAGAAAATGAGCAGCATCTTGATATACATGATAGACTGGCTGACGCTATAAATGCAGCACTAAAAACTAAAAAAATAGAAACAAAAGATCTACAAAAAGAATTACAAATATACGAAAGTACAGGAAACATAACAAAAAATCTGCAAAATTTGTTGGATTCTTTGATGACTATACGTCCCACTTCAATTCAAAGCGTAAGGGTATTATCTCTAAGCGATTTTTCCATTGATTGTCTTACCTTTCTAAAATGCTATTTTTTAAACAAATAATTTATGTAAACAAGAAGACTTCGCTCTTCCTTCCATTGGATGAAATGAATCAATATAAATCTGTAAATAATAATAAATGAAATACTTTTGGGATTTTTACTTTATTTTTGAATTATATTTTGTTACATATTTATATATCTTTTTTTATTTTATTTTTTTACAATGTTCCCCTAATTTAAATAAATTTCATAGTATCGTTAGAAAGGTACATTTTGAATTTATCGGAAAAAAACTTGAAAATGGTAATCTCTAAAAAATAATCAATACACAAATTATAGGATCTAAAAAAATCATACAAATCTTTTCTCTAACGAAATCTGATGATCCTGGAAATTATTCTTACATACATTAATGCAATTTCCCAAACTATATTCCGCGGAACACTGGTGTTAATAGGTTTTCTGTGAAAAACAGTAATGAAATAGTTACTAAATTAATAATGATTTTTTTTTAAATTTTTATTGATTATGTGTTATTATCTACCCCACAAAATAAACAAGGTGTTGCGTGAAAATTTCAGAATTTACAAAGTGTTCCGTTGTAGAAAAAGTTTGGGAAACCCTGCATTAATGAATGACACGCTTGTATAGTCATGTGCAAAGTATGCCTGGGTATCTTTTAAAACAAATCTTAAAATAATCAACACCATGAATATTGCAACTATGCAGCCATCTATGGTGTACAGTTAGAAATGTATTGGTGAGAGTACACCGATCAAGTAGTCAACTGCCAAAGCTGTCAAAAACGTTTTGTAATAAATTTGTACGAAATGTGCAATTTTCTTCTTTACCATTAGTTATCGATCTAAAAGTGGTACAATTGTGTGGTCCATGTGCGTTTGGTTGGGACGATTTTTGAGTAAAACTAATAGATAGAATTGGTGTGGACTATTTTGTGAGTAATTCGTGATAAGATGGGTAACGTACACGCAAGTTCCGGGGCACCAAACATGGCACCCCCGCCGCCGCCAGCCTCGCCGACCGCCGCCGGTGTAGCCGACGTCAGCTCCCCAAACGAGATTGAGAACCCCGGCCCACTTGAAGACATCCACAGCAAATGCAAAAGTAACTATCCTCTACCTCCCCGTGAATAGAAAAATCCAACTATTATATAACATAACCTATGGAAGTGTGTCATGTAAACAATAAACCTCTCTTTGTGCTTAGACATATTCCCAACATGCTTCGATGGAGCAAGGATCATGCTCACAAGGGGACTCAGCAACCACTTCCAGATTTCACACACAATAAACATGAGCTCAGTCACACCAAGCGGATACAGGTTTGGTGCTACCTATGTAGGAACCAAGAAGATCTCCCCAAGTGAAGCCTATCCAATTATGCTTGGAGATGTTGATCCTACAGGCAACTTAAATGCCACCATCATTCATCAATTGCAACCTTGCCTACAGGCAAAGTTTGGAGCTCAGGTACCTAAAAATAATAACATTTCAATGCAAATTATTTCCAAATGAATCTTATCTAATAGGTACAAAATGGTAAATTCACTGTAGGACAACTGACAATGAATTTCAAAGGGTCCAATTATACTGCCAGCATGACTGTTGCCAATCCTGATGTGGTAGCTGGAACTGGTGTAATGGTATTGCACTACCTGCAAGCTGTTACACCCAGATTGGCCTTAGGTTCTGAGTTGGCCTACCAGAAAGGACCTACCATACCAGGAGGCGAAATTGCCTTGTTAAGTTTAGCAGCTAAGTATGTCACAATTCACAGTCCTTTGTGTTCATCAATTAACGTATGCGATTTAGATACGCGACAGAAAATTACCAGTGTTCAGGCACTTTAGGAGTATCGGGCATCCATTTGTGTTATTATCAAAGGGCTAGTAAACAATTGCAAATCGGCGTCGAATTAGAGGCCAACCATAGGATGCAGGAGGCCGTCGCTTCCATAGGTTACGAAGTAGATTTACCTAAGAGTGATGTCTTATTCAAAGGTAAATTGAGTTCAACATTGTTTCTAGCATTATTTTTTACATGTGGAGAATCGTTTTAGGTCACGTGGATTCAAATTGGACGGTGGGAGCTGTGCTCGAGAAGAAATTGAATCCATTACCTTTCACTTTAGCCCTTAGCGGTCTTATGAATCACACGAAGGGCCAGTTTCGCCTTGGAGTGGGAATTATTATTGGATAAGTTGTTTATACGCAAGTTTCCTTTCAAGTAATTTTTTAAATAAAGATTATTAAATATGATTAGTATGAACAAAGCAACGGCATGCAGCAGGGCTTTTTTTAAATGGTTTTGTACATAGACATTGAAATCGAATTTGAAAAGATTTTTAAGAGGAAGCATTGCGTTTAGTTAATATATTATTGTTACGAATTTAGTGAAGGAATGAAACATCAAAGGTTATTTACACAGTTTTCAATTAATTATGTGTAAAACATTGAAGGGACGGCGTGAGGCAACAGGATTTATTTATCTCTATTGTTGCCCTCGGCATCTTATCGTATTTCATTTTGTACTTTAATGTAAACTGATCTGCATTTCTTTTATAATTCATTATTATGTTTTTTTTACAATTCTCCATAAATGCACTGATTAAGAAGAATGTTAATGGCTGTATTAACAAAATAAATTGAAATAGACTAAACCAACCAAAAAAGTAAATAAAAGAGCTATTGTTGACTTTTAAAAAAATATTTGTGATTTTTAATTTATCCATTTTATTAAAAAAAAGAATGAAATATGTAACGACTTTCTCAGGTATAACGATTTATTACGTTTAATTACTTTTTAGTATAAAACAGCTGCATACTATGAGTAGTTATCATGTGCATAGAATGTGTAAAGTTCCATGCCAACATGATAGTATTATAGATAACTATAGTACAAATTACTTGTGTAATTTTTACATAATTATTTTAATATACATCTCAAGCAGGGGCGCTAAGACTTAAACCATCGGCGATCTACCATAAAAGTATTAAGCAGCAAGCGATTAAATAATTACGCAAGCAAGCATGAATTAAATGTACTTTTTATACTTAAAAACCCGTCATGATCGACTGTTTGAGCACCCCTGATCTAAAATAATAGGTACTTGATGTTTATCATTGATATGATTTTGATTGATCAAATTGCGCGTATTCATTCTATTTCAATTATTGTTTTTAGTCGTATTACAATACTATAGCTTTTTCTTTGCTTCCACAAAAATATGTATACAAATATATTAGATATGTAAATCATTTACATTAGGTGGTAAAGATTGTTCAGTATATAATATATTGATAATACTCCCGAGAAGATTTTTATATATTAACATTTTTGCTGATTATTCTGTAAATTAGGCTAAGATACTCGTATTTCTATTCAAATAAATAGTACAAGTAGAATAATCAAATTAAATTAATTAAAATATATTTCTTATCATATAAAAGTATTATCTTTATTAATAATGTCATAGTGCTATTTTGTTACAAAATGAAGTAACGAAATAGCAGTACAATAATTTAAATATTTAAGGTGCATCATCAGAAAGCAATCTTATTGGAGGCTTTCGTCTCCCATAATCCATTTAGCCTGTGTCGAATTGATACAATTTTGCCAGCCTCAGCTTTGGTACTTTAAAATTAGGCAGGTAATTCGTTTCGGGGTTCCATCGACTCTGCACCAGTAAGCATTAATTACTTTTAGCTTATATTAATTTAGTATATACCACCAACTATACATGTATACAGGCAATAATCAATAATTAAAATAAACATATAACCAACGAACATTTTTGAAGAGATTTATATCAATAATATTGATATTATTATTGATATAAATCGTTTGGCCCTTTTCTACCCCTTTCGGAGTTTAACGGATCCCACAATTTTTTGTTGGTTTTTGAGGTTCGAACCAAGTTTTTCGTATCGGATTTTTGTGATACAGGGACTATATAAACACACGGCTAACCTAACCCAACTAACAATTATAGAAGTTATTATATTTTAATCGCGTTTCTTATTTCACCAAAATATTTCAATTAAAATTAAATTGATTTATATTTGGTACTACTGTTATATTTATGTTGGTGACACTGTGAAATAACGTTATAATTTGAGTTTAGCGATAAATTAAAAATATCAAGCAATTTAAAGCAAGTCCCGGTTTGAGCCAGTTTGAACACAATTTATTGTGTTTCTGTCCAATAAAAACAACTTTAAAAGCAAGTTTATCTAATATTTTGAAAAATAATTGTTTTTATATGATTTTGTTATAGAATGGCTGATATTTGGGACAAATTTAAGGAGGTTTGTCCAGAATACAAATATTCCAAGGAAGAAACAACTGTTGTATTACCTGAATTTCTTAGGTTTATCCTAAAGAAAGTGCATACGAAAGCATTGGAAGTATGTTCGGCAAATTCTGAAGAACTGTCTATACCACCTACTATGTCAAACATTAATTTAATCAAGCAAATCAATGAGTTAATACCATCAACAGATTTCAAACTGTCCATTTTATCTTTGGTAAAACCAAAGACCAATAAGGTAACACATGTAATAAGGTACTTGATGCACCTTGTATGTGCATGTTATGAAAATGGAGATGATTTTAAAGCTATAAATAGTAGAACATGTGATCTGCTTGAAACTGAAGTCAGTCTTGAGCAGGAACGGAAAGCATTGTTGATTGAAAATCACAATCATACTATTGAAGAAATGAAGGCGAGAGAGGCTATAGGACAAAGCAAAAGCAATATAGATAGAATGAACAACAAGTACTTATCAGTAGTAACATCAGAAGATTTTAAGACCAATTCAAATAATATTAAAGTTGTTAAAGAAGCTATAGCCACAAAAACTGATAGAGTTGAAAAGTTAAAGGAGAGTATTAAAATATATCAAACAAATGAAACAGAACTGAATGAAGTGCAAGCAAACTTGTGTAAAATAAAAAATGAATATGAGGAAATCAAGGTGGAATGTGCTTCATTAGATAATGTAATAAGTTTGAAACAAAAACATTATTCCTATTTGCAAAGCGTTAGTGATATAGCTACAACATTCTCAACGTTTGTGCAAGATTTCAAACATATCAGTACAAGTAGGAAAGAGCTGCAGAAGAAAGTTGAGATTAATGCAGATTTGAAGACAAAGTTGGAGATGACTGAGATGCAGATTGTTGATAAAATTAGTGTTATGAATGATGTTAAAGATATGTATATTAAAAACTATAGGAAGCAGATGCAAACATATGTTGCTTGTTCCACGAAATTGGAAGGCAGCAAAGGGGAGAATGAGAGAATCCAAGAGGAGAAACAAATGTATTCTAAAAAATTGGAAAAGTATGTGCTGCAATGTGAGATGATTGAGGAAGAGATTAAAAATAATGAAATAGAATTTAATAAACAAGTAAACAGTTTGTTAAAGTTTCATGATGATGTTATTGAAATGCAGAAAAATATAATGGAAGGAAAGCTATATTGATATATTATAATTAAGTTAATTGTGATTTTTACTTGAATGTTATATATAATATATTTTAAATAAAATCTGTTTTGTCGTACCTGATTTAATGCATTTATGATCGTATAATGTGAATTATATATATTATCCTAGCTATCCATATAGTCTTCATGTATATGTATTGTTAATGAATGAATTTATTTATCGTCAATTTCCTTACTTTTCCTCTATTTCTAACGCGAAATATGATCGAAAAAAATTAATAATTTTGCAATTTTATGTAGAAGTTAAGAAAGTATCACTTGGAATAATTAGTTGCAGATGTCGAAATTTGATTTAGTTAAAAGAATATTAAAAAAGGGAACATACATTTTATTCCATTAATACTCTTTTATTTGCATATTTTCTTACATTAAACATATTACATTATTATAAATGATGTATAATATATACTTTTTTCTTTTATGTATATATATATAGTACAATGTTGTAAGGTTCATTTATTTATTTATTTTTATATATAAATAGGGACAATATTACAACATATAATAATTAATAATTAGTAGTTTTTTTTTACCTTACCAAGCTAATGACTAGAATACTGATTAAATTAAGTCTTTTGAAGAATAATATATAACGTACGTGTATGTGGCGAAAGCTTCTTGATTCTCTTAAAAAACATGCTAAATTGGAAGGTCCAGCCTGGAGCTGAGACCGGCCACGAAAAGAACAACAAATCACAATGTCTGCCCAATTGCTGCGCTTAATATCTAACTATAATACAAGAAAAATAAACATGGAAAAAAAGTATAAAAACGAGTGTACTTTGAAGCCGAAATTACGTGCGAAAATCAGAGTATCTTATTTTTACTTCCGCAAACACTACTGAATACTGCAGTTATCAATTACATCATATTTGGTCAAAATACGGTTTTGTTTTTGCTTACACCTACGCATCCCCATTTTAAGTACTCGCATCGAAATTGTAAATTCAAGGTATATTATATAAAAAAGATTTTCTCCAAAAATTGTACAAAACTATATAAAATGTTTCCATTCCTCTGTCATCAGTCGAACAGACAGACCGCTGCTATTCATCATTATTATTTTGGGTTCCAACTTGAGTATTACTTCGGTTTCCCATGTACTTCAGGAAATCAAGTTGAGGTGGATGCCCGCAAATCAAAAGACTTCGGAAATTACGGAAATTTCATCAAAAGATAATAATAAATTAAAATAAAAATAAAATTTGTAACAAACACAGCTCGCGTTATATAAATTGGCAAAACATAATCAACTTATAATGTAAATGTATTATGCGGGGCGCGCCAACAGCAGTTTTATGCAATAGAGATGAAGCGCCCAGCATAATAAACAAAAGGTACAGTTTCAAAATATGTAGAAAAACATCGGGGAAAACAGTTTCACAACTAACCGGTTTCTATTTTTAAAATTTCAGTACCGGTTTATTTTCACGTTTTTGAAAACAACAACCCAAATAATTCGGTAAATTTATAGCATTGAATAATGAAACTTATTCAGCGTTGCAATTATATTATTCAGTCAGTAATGAAACTACTTTCCGTGCATTTCTCATTCGTCGCTGACAAATAGTAATTTGGACGAAAATAATAACCGGTTTACATAATACAAAAATACTCTCATCATTCTAAAACAAACTTGTACGATGTCGCGATCACAAAACAATAAAATTCCACGAAAATTAATATATTAGAAAATATTTCATAATATTTCAGCAACGTTCCGAGCGGCGCATTTTCAAAATTGCTCCGGTTTTTGAATATCGCGCACGGCCGCCCCAGATATATTTCATATATATTCATATAAAAAATAATAATTAAATATCAACAAATATTCTGCGTCGCACTTTCAGAAAGTGCATCGATAAAAAAAAATAAATAAATTAGACGAAAGAATAAAAGAATAATTAAACTTTCCTTGATTTGTACACTTAAATTATAATAAGAGGATTCTCATTTCGCAATGAGAATGCTTCTTAAGACGTGCCCTCTGCTTTCAAGCTCTTGCAACGCTCTCTTTCCTGATTATTGTCAGGAGGTTCGCATTCGAAACTCGCCATGGCTAGTGAGTTTTCGTTCAAGATGGGTCCGTTTTTCAGAAGGGCGATTATTCTGGCATCTTTTTCAAAAGGGCACGTCTCCTGCTTCCAGGCCATGAACTCGGTCACCTGCTTGGCCAGCTGCCAAAACTTCTCGAAGTTTATGTGCCCGTTGGGTAATCTGTGCAAAAGATAATATTTAGTCTGGTTGACGAAGTTGTTTTCGGTGCAACGTACTTGTTGGAGCAGCCTTGGTTTAAAAAGTAAATGTCTTTAACCAAAAGACTGAAGAACGGGATGACGATTCGTTGCCTCTGGTCCTGTACTTTCTCCGATTTGGCGCCGGCGCTCCGCCACATGGCCGCTTTCAAAGTGCTCCTGTAATTGATAAAATTACTCGTCGGATCCATTTGATGTTCAAGCATCGCGAATTTTCCGGACTGAATTTTTAGCCACTACAAACACATAAAAGAAACGAAATTAATTAAAAATGTTTGCTTATTAGGAAATAAAAAATGCATTACAGTCTTTTTAAGCCTTGAAATGGGAGACAAATTGAGACCGGCAATAATTGCCATCAAACTATTGAAGTTGCCGATGTTGAAGCACTCTTTGCCAACCTCGATCCAATACTCGACGACGCGCACTCTCTGCTTCTTTTTGGGATACTATAAACAAATACAAGAGATTACAATTTGAAACTCAAATTCATCCGGATATCAGTTTACGTACTTTACAAACTTGGGTTGCAACGAGGTAGCTAAGTCTGTTGAACCATTGCACGTACTGCTCCAGGTTATGGGTCTTCTTCATGTCTATGAAGGAGGTCTCCAGGTGCAGATTATCTTTGGCAAAAGCCTGCACGAATTCCTCGGGTCCAATAAACGAAAGCCTCTCCAGTTCGACATGTGTTAGCTGCTGGGCCAAACAGGCAGGACTCGGGCATACTTCAGAAATATCGGTGAAGTTTTCATCCATCACGATGCTTTGTTCGCATTTCTCGTACTCCTCCAATGCTGTCAACCTTTGCAGCAGATTGTGCAGAGATGAGGACACGTTCATTCTCACGCCAATATTCAGATCGATGCATTGTTGTGTTATAGTTTGCACATGTTGCATCACACGTTCATCCCTGTAAATTAAGGTTTATTAATTAAATTATAATGTTCTAAATATTAATGCAGACATCATTTATAATATTTCCATATAATAATTCCAATAATAATATGAACAGAAAAGTCAACAAATATAAAACATATCTCAATATCTTTGAATTAGAATTATATAAATTGGACAGAAAGACTTCGGTCATTAACCTGTTGTGTCAACAAAAATTATAAATTTTATTAATTAATGTATATAGTTTAAACAGTTTATATATTTTATCTTTGTTTTAAACTAAAAATAACAATAACAACATCATATTATGTTTTCCAAACTACAATATTTTTTAAACGAGTTGCCTGTATTCAAATAAATGAGTTTTTAATTAATGTTTTTTTCTTTTGTCTGGCTCGTGCACTAAAATATTAATATTCATTATAGAACTATATAATGTTTTAATCATCAAACGTCTCTCTACTTCCGAGTTTTAAAATTATTAGAAGGAAATACTTTTTTTTAATCATATTTGTAAAATTATAGTAGAAGCTTTAAAAATTACTTGAAATATACTGAAAAATAGTGATATAGAATGATTTATAAGTTTATTTTAACGTTATATTAATTGATTGCATATATGTAAAGATATGGGCGATTTCGTTCTTGAGCATATTAGTTTATTATAGAAATTATAAATTCTTACCTAAAATCGTATGGAAAGATTTCCGTCCATTCGCCCAAAAGTTGTACCATGTGTTCGGCGAACCTGGCAGAGGATTCGGAATGATGATGAGGCGGAAGTTTGCCTAAAGCCTGTTGAGCCTCACACAACTTCCTAACCCTGTCCAAGAGGTCATGCGGTTTGATGTAGAGTCTCGAAGACAGCAGAAACGCAAAAATGTAAGTTCTGTTCGGGTAGTAGGTATCTGTTGGTACCAAATTCTGAATGAGAGCCTCGAGTGGACCCGAAACCAAATTTCCATCCCTATAAACAAGAGCCTAAGAAAAACAAACGAAAATAAATAAACATAATAATGCGGGATTAATGATGTTTTCATTACATTCTCTTGGTGTATGGCCGATTCCGAGATGTTCTCCTCGCCATTGTAAAATTTACTTTGCGGCGTCTGCGGTAGGCTTCTTCTGTTCGAGCAATCCTTAGGCGTTAGATCCGATGCAACAGTGCCGAAAATTGTAGGCTAAACAATTATAAATAAGAATATATTAATATATTTTTCAATCGGAATAGAGATGTTTTAATACAAAGATAAATTTAATATTTAGGCCATTGCAATTACCGTCATTTTTTTGAACCCGTTTACGTTGCATTTGCGGAAATGCTCGGAAAGGTCCGTCTCGTCCAGCGAGCTGAGCGAGTCAATAGAGCTAGGTGTGAAGTCGACTTTGTTCGTTGAGGAGTTCGAGAGATGTCCAGAGTCCTTGCTGAGTGAGTTCTTTTGCTTGTAACCGTTCGGCGCGTCGGATTGCGAGTCGAAACTGGATGCGCTCGAGTAGCTGCCGTCGTAGCCGTTGTTGTAGTCGTACTTCTGCGAATTCAGCAGCTCCGACGTGGGCATGATCTTTACCGGCTCATAGATCTCGCTCATCGAGGTCGTGTAGAAGTTTTGCTCATTGATCTCGCGGCTTCTCTCGTCGACTATCTTGCCCTTCTTCGACACAGTCACCTCTTCAGTGGAAACCGTGGTAGATTTGACGTTCAAAGAGGTCTCAAGTTTCACTGGTGCTTTCAGGATTCCGTTCTTAATAAGAATGGCGTTGAGAAGGTCGCATGGAGGAACCTGGCCGGTCATTAACGCCTGTTTTATAGCAAGACCCTCGCTGCCCTCCAGCTTTACTTGTGTACCGTTTATGAACAGAATTTCCTCCTCTTTGATCGAAGACTTCTTCTCGCAATCCACCACTTTGGCGCCTTTCCCAAGGATCGACTCGACCGTCTCCTGGATCTCCGGGTCGTCCATGATCAGCGGATTTACTGCATTTCAGAAACGTTGATTACACATTTTTTTTGGGGGATCGAAGGGGGCGGCGATAACAGATGAAAAGGCATTAGGAATTCGAGGCTCATCGCACGCGCCGTCGGTCGACCGACAATAAAACAAGAAGCCACTATGCCGACGCGGGAGACGAATAACAATGCGAGTGCGAGGAAGAAGGAGACAACGGCACACACACGACAGACAGAAATCTGTGGCAAGCATCCGGTCCCCCTCCGACTTCCGGAATAAATGTAATGCTCAATTGGTTGGACGAGGATGGAGAAAGGAACAGGGATGACAATAATAACAAACTGCGAGAAGAACAGAGACCGGGCGAAAAACAGTAGTGTCCATTCAATGATAACAATTTCATTGATAACAACGTTGGATATGCACTGTACTCTATTGTTTGAAAACTTTCCATTCATAAATGTTGAATGCAGAGGATGTCCATGACCATCCCACTTTTTTTTGTTGCTTTGTTTTGCCAGATATTTAACTGGTTGCTCAATTCTAACAGATTTTTTTTAAAGTTGCAAAAATCAATCAACTTTCATTAAATAATATTTGTATGTATATAATTGTAATCAATATTGTTGTTGACTAATAGTCATACAATTATTTTACCAAAATACGTGAAGCGTAAAAGAATATAATGAAATTCCTTGTGTAACAAATTAATTGATTGCATTCCCATGTAGGATCAGTTTAAACCTCGCCTTTAAAAATAGTTTACATTATTTTCCTAGCCTCTGGCTACGGATTAGTTAGGAGAGCAAAATCTGAAAGACATTAAGTGCTCTACATCCCACTCACCCCGGGAGCCAGAAAAGAAAACATTTGTTTCCCTGCGTTTTCGAAAACAACAAAACCGTTCACAGTCCATAAAGGATTCTATTTAAAAAAATAAAAATCCAGTAGCATTCTTCTAATTAAAAGAAAACAACGTCTCGCATCACCATGGAATTCCACACTAAATCTCATTCCTTTATATTTATTTTTCTAACTAACTCTAATTTATTCATATCAAATCCTTTTTCTATAGGAATATTAACAATTATCTGAATTAAAATTATTATTTATTTGGTATGAAACATTCATGTATATAAAGTTAAAATTTTATTTAAATAATAAAATGTAACTTTGAGTTTAGTATTACATTTATATAGAAATAATTGTATGTGCACAATATTAAAAGTATTTTGCGGGATTGGTTCAGAGGAATCTGTCATCTTCTGGACAGTATTTATAGAGGGTCATAAAATAATGTAAGGATGCAGATTTCTGTTTCATTTTCGGATTGGAGCGAAAAGCGATAAAGTAAATGCCCCATAAAATATGCACACTTTCCTGCTCAAAATTAGCTCCAGCAAAACCAAATTACAGTAGAAAAAAACAGATCCCGGAAGAACTTCAAATGATAAATTGTAACTGTTTTTGTTAGATATTGTAGTTATCACCCACGAAGTTCTTTTGAATTGTGTGTTAAGATATGTTACTCGTTACTGTTTCTTTTGTAACATTAAAAGTATATGATCTAAATTGGATATATAATAAATAAAAATTTGAATTAAATAAAAATGAACTATACTCTGCATTTATTAATTCAGAAGCAATTAATCTTCCAAATTAAAACTGGATTTCGCTCCGAAAGCATTTCTATGATTACAAAATAATTGCTAGAAAACATATTTTTTGTTTGTTTTCATATTTCTTTTTCGTTTTAAGGTAATTAATCTTCTCAAAAACTAGAGGAGCTGTATTAAATTCACGCTCACTTAGCCTTCGCAGCCGGCGTTCCATCTTCACGCGCCAATTAATCTCATACAATTATATAAAAAAAACATAAATAACAAACTAAGAAAACACAATAATTTCCACAATCATCGATGATTAATTAATGCAACTATTTTACCTTTGTACTTCCGCAAACCGAGAGCGGAAAACATTTTAAATATCCTATGGAACTTCCTCTTTTCCCTGGACCTCACCCTGCGTAAGATCTCGAATCCACGAGACATTTTTTATTGCTATAACTATGTTCAATGCCCCGCGAAAAGTAGAACAAAAAACGAAAAAGAAAGAAAAAAAAACAAAATAAATAAACGAGAAAAATATAAAATAAATAATTTAAAAAAAAAATAGATTTTTAGAGCAAACGTTTTATAAAACCTTGAAAATATTATATATTATGAAAATTATATTTGGTTTCAACTATAAATGCACATTTAAAGTTGTTTTAACTATATTAATTGTTTATGTGTTTAATATCAATAAATTAATTGGAATATTGTAGAGCTAGTAATATTTCTGTGTGGATTGTTTAATAATTGCGTTGATCTAAAAATACTTTAGATTCCAATTTTTTTGTGTGATGTGTGAAAGGTAATTCACTTGTTAAACATTCATGGCGTTTATAAATAGAAACGGAACGAAGTAATTACGATTAATGTTTCAGTTGTGTATTACGTACGTACACAGTAGTAGGCAGTTCTATGCGCTTCGTTATTAAGTCACATCACATCAGAGGAGTTTATGGCATTGTGGTTGTTGCATCCAGACTATCTGGGTCACAACTATGAACTACTATATGCATCGTTCCAGTTCAAGTGCATTCATTAAAAACTAACTGATTCTGGTTATGCAGTTTGGGTATTATCCAAAAACTTGTTACGCTTTGATAAATGGACGCAATTATGAAGATCATGCTCATCCCCAGTTTCCGTTATGTGCATATACAATTTCGCGTGTAATAACTTACGGCGTTCGCCTTTTGCTAAACTCCTGAATGGATTACTGCGAGCTGTGAAATGCAACATTCGGAACAACGCGATGTGCATTACAGATTAAAAGCTGGATGAGCAGAATAGCGGAGGGAAGTGCATGGGAATTCCAAAGGCAATGCCAACTGGCACATTGCAAACGAGCCTCTCTTTACTCCTTTTACCCTTTTTTTCCATACGCTTCCTTTTATTCCATTCTACTTCTTGTTACGTTTTGCATAAACACACTTGTTCGCTTCTAATCGTTAATCTGACACATACACACAGAGATCCATACATTTACACACATGCGAAGATATAGAGTTGAATACGCTAGGAGCCCTTGGAAATTGCAGCGAGAGTAAAAGGACGACAATCGAATGCGAACGGAATGCTCGATTAATTCGGAATACGTGCAATTATTACAGAGAGCCCGGACTCTTTATCAAGATCGAAGGATTATAATGGCCCGAGCACGACAGGGGCTCTGAGGAACGGGAGAAATAAAATAATGAAACCGCAAATTCGATTCGGATTATGCAAACAGTGCGGTGTTCAGAAATAAAAATGGAAAATGCGGAACGGGAGAGGATTGTAATTTGCATTTCTCACAATGATAAAATACTTCTTGAATGTTGTCGGCAAATAAGATATACGTATGCAAATGCTGTTAAATGGGTTAGAAGTGTATCAGTGATAAAGCTCATGACTTCCACATAATATAACAAGATTAACCGTAACGATTTACTTTTCAGATAATAAAATTTTCAATTCCATAATAATAAAATTATATAATTATATGTTTGTTATATAGAATTTGCAAGAAAAAATTATTTATTCAATGTGATAGTAAAAAAATCATTTAAATTTTATATTCACCTTGTACCAAAGAGTAGCTATAAGAATAATTTGATAAATAATTTAAAAACATGTTTTTTACTGATACTAAATATCCTTTTTTATTGATACTAAGAGCATTTCAAAATTAATTTATAAAATTTAATTGAATATTTTTTCAATAAAATGTCACGAAGTAATGTTTTTTTGAATTCATATCTAAAATTGATTCTAAAATTAAGAATATTCATTTCTTCATATTTCTTAGCATGAAAAGTATTGGGAAATGAGATAAGAAATAATAAAACATCTAATAAACGTGTATTAAACATTTGTTAAATCAACAAATATTTTTGCTATTTTTTTTGTTTAAATTGATATAGAAAAGTATTTCTGGATAGGTAATAAATTGCAAAAGTGTATGTAAGATCGGCGAATGTAAAACTGTAAGTTTTTTTTTCATTATACTGTAACGTGGTAAAATCGACAACGCTGCAAGTGCGCTCCACGTNAGATTGGTATATCTTGTGTTTTTTATGTACACGAGTGTTATCGTGTTACAATACCTAAAAGTATTTCTGGATGGGAATGGCTATAAATAGATGTCGAATGCATGTGCACATTAATCGTATGTGTGTATGCGAATAATATCATCATGACCCACCTCAAAGTGGTCTGGGAGGGTTCACACACACGCGAAGAGGGAACCGGAATGGATGGATGAGAAAAAGAGAGAGATGAGAAGGAGAAAACAAGATTCGAATGCGGATTTCTTCTTGCTTCAATGGAGGAAAAGAAGATAAAACTCGAGAGCCACGAACAAGTCGAGACATGAATATAAATCAGGACCGAGGACGTTCTTCCTCGGACGCGGGGGCGGCTATACAAAAAAAGAGTCATGTAACAATAAAAGTAATAAGTACTGAAGCGAAAAAGAGGAATAGGATTACTGGTTGTATGGATGGAGTGAACCAGTTCGCAGATGGAGGAAGTAGATTGAAACTAGTCCGGTTTGGAAGTACAATATGCCAATTAAAGTATCTAAAAAAGAAGTTGTTTATATTGTTCCGTATGAATTTAATTTGTTTTAAATGTCACCATATACAACTTTATATGGTAAGACTTCTAGTATACTAGCTATATATGAATAGCAGAAAATTGTAATTCAATTGTAATATCATTGGATGTCGTGATAACTAATAGTAGATGTTAGGACTGAGAGAAATGTATCCTACTATAGTTACTAGAGTTCAGTTACTTGATAAAGGGTAGTTATATGAATAAATTTAATTACTTTCGTAAGTTGTATACCATTAAAAATCACCTTTACTTAAGTATTTTCGTATAGAGTAAGTTTGAGAAAGTATAGGAATTAGTTATTTATATAAGAAATTATCAGGAAGTTATATGATAAACTCATAAAAATAGATCGAATAGATAAAACGGGAAAAAACAGTAAATCCAAATTACGATTTCGTTTGAGAAACCTAATGACCGGGCATTACGCAACAAACAATGCGGGATTCGATGCGATGTGCACTGAATTACGTGCAGTATTAATTGCATTAATTACAAAAGAATGTTATCTAATTGTTCTTTGCAATTAAATGGAACGCCTTGTACAAGCGATTAACCAATTTCCTGGAGGGTTCTGCATTGAATGCAAATCGCGATTTTCCTCCTTTCGCTTTTACCGCGAGGTGGAATCTGCCACCGTTACGTAACCGAGAAAATCAATCGGATCGGAGTGGCAGGAGAAATTGACAATAAAATGGACTTCCTACGCGGTTTCCAATATGCATAAAGGCGATACAATACAAACGATATTTGTATGAATAACATAGAATAAATAGGAGTGAAAATAATTAGACGAAGAGAAAAGTGGATTACGCAAAGCTGAAACTTTCACGAGCCGTTTATTGTAACATGCCGGAAGCGACAGATCTATTTGTTTGTTTTTGTTAACCACTGGAACCGTTTTGAATTTTAGCCATCAATATTATGATGTTTTAGAAGCAGATTATTTCTCTCTGCGATTTCCTTTGTACTCTGACCTATAAGTTCTATGAAGTGTATTGCATTTTGATTATCTGACGAAATGTAAAGTTTTGCTGTAGACTTAACCAATTTCGTAACAGAAATAACGTAATACTTCTATACATCTATTAAATTTTAAAGTCATAAAATGTTTAATCTCGAAACATTATTCTATATTTAGTGGAAGTTTTAAATTGGGTTAACTCTTCCTTTTATCATTTGCAACAGTATCAGCCAATATAATTATACTCGTGTTGATGTCTCTAATGGAGTAACTGACTACACGAACGCCGCAATCTTCATACAATCTTAAATAGAAAATAAAAATCTTTTGAGTTTCCAATCACGACACGCGGTCGGGTTTCGCATTTTTCTAATGCATTTTCCATTATCTGGAGTGCATTGAAAAGCGTATGGAGGGACAGGAAAATGTGTTCCAGATTTTCTTTGTGTGCGGCGAAATTGCAGAGTCGCAATAATAATAATAAAAGACGAAAACAAAAAAAACAATAGCAGACCATAACAATAACGTCTTCAGTTGGCTTCGTGCCAAAAGATTCACTGACATCGATTCGATCTAGTTACGATATTCGATAAAATAAAAGTAAATACAACTCGGCCATAGCGATGCCAATAGAAGCGATCTGTGTTTGTAACGCAATATATGTGAAACAAAAAAATCTAACTTTTTAACAATTGTACCGTTATATGTGAATAATACAACAGCTTGTTTTGCAATTAATTATACCACAAGTTAATAGAAAGTGGTTTGTATTGTTTGACACATACTATTTTCATAAAATATTCTTAAACAGTGGTGAACTTTCATCGTGCAAATTAAAGACAGTTAGAAAAAAAACACCAGTCGTGTCAAAGATGCATCCATGTGTATGATATTCGTTTCATTCAATGTGCATCCTTTTTTTTGTTTGCACGTCAAGTTTGATGAACGTGCGGTTTGGTTTTGGCGCCAGATGCAATTAAAGTTCAGGAAGAACAACAGATGGCCATCTCCGCCTTCGACAACGTTCTCGGGCCTCGAATATCTCAAATACGTCTGTACCTTTTTTTTTTATATATTTTCAGGGCGGTAGTTAAATTAGTCAAGTGAGGCAGACCCTAAGACTCAGTCATAGATATAATAAGATTACGAACAACAGATGTCGCAATTGATTGATGACAAACTTCGAAATAAATATAAAAGGGACTTAAGATGATTGCGGCAAACGTCGCATACACTTACATTTAATAATGAACATAACTTTATGGAGATAATAAAAGGGAAATCATCATTATTTTTGATATTTTTAAGGGTTATTCAATTTAGTTTTCATCAATTAACTATTATTAAGACTATCTGAATAAAGATATTCACTATTTCAGAATAAAATACTAC